TAACACGGAGGAGATGGATTGTTTAAGTTTAGAGTTTGGAGTTAGAGATATTAATATTTGTTTACTTGTATTTGAATATTAGCCTAGGTTTGGTTTGGGAAGTCCGGGGGGTGGGGGGATGGGATAAAACATTGTGTAATATCTGTGATGTATTTCTTTTTTCTTTTATGATAAAAACAATAAAATTTTATATTGATAATGCTGAAACAATCATAAGCAGCATATTCCATGATAAAACACAAAGCAACATTTAATCTGGATTCCTGTTTATTTAATACTATCCTCATTTCTCTCGGTTTTATTTGCTGATCAAAATTAATAAAATTGATCTATACACAGAAATATTTAAGAGGAAATAATTGAAAATGTATGCAACCTTTCATGATTGAATTGGATGTAACTTACTTCTCTTCAGCATTTATTAAAGCTTTAATTAGGCCAGAAAGCCGGAAAAAGACGACTTAGATTAATTAAATTTAGCATGAAAAATTCAGATAGAAAACTTTTCTCATATCAGTAATCGAATACAATTCCCATGTAAAAAAAATTCTAGGACAAAACTGTCACTTACTCTGTATGGCCCTGAAAGACATTCACAGAGTGAATAGAAGGGTCTCTGAAATCCCACAAACGGAAGGTTGTATCACGCGATGAAGTTACCACAAGGCGCTGGGTGGGGTGGGTGCAACAGTGTGTAAGTTCTTGGTCATGTCCTAAAACCACAAAGCAAAACATTATTACTTTGAAAAGGCCAGACCTACTCGCAAAAATTGGGGATGAAGAACATCAGAGAAACAATTACGTTTCGATGGTAACCAAAATGGTCTTTGCCAGTGATGGCGAACCTTTTAGAGACCAAGTGCCCAAAATGCAACCCAAAACCCACTTATGCATCGTCGGGTGCCGGGTGGGTGTGGCCCATTGGGTGGGCGTGGCTACGGTGGTAACAGCAGACTGGGTGAGACTAAAAAGTTCAATCAATCAATTCCAACTTTGCAAGATCTTTTTTTTTCCCGCGAGAAGTTGAAATTGACTGATTGATTGAACCTTTTTTTTGTGCACGGCGGCGGAGGCCTAAAGCGAAAAGATTTTATAAAACCCAGCTGAAGGCCTAGGACTGGGGCGATGGCGCGCATGCCCACAGAGAAGGCTCTGAGTGCCGCCTCTGGCATCCATGCCATAGGTTCGCCACCACTGGTCTCGGCAAAACAAGTTTGCCCAAGGTAGATTAAAATTCTGTTCCAATCTTACTTATTCCCTATTGGAATGATATGGATTAAATCCCATATTTTATCTAAATCAGTCATTTTAAAAATGTAAGGGAACAGACTTCTATCACTTTTGTACTGATGTGACTTATGAACATGATGGACATGCCTTATTCTATAAAACAAATTTTGAGTTCCTATATGAAAATGGTACTCCCAAGTAAACAAAATGTACCCATGATTAAATAAAAGCTCTCTAAATATGGTAGAGTCCATCTCTTCTTGCATGCTTTCAGAAACTCATAAAACAGCCTGCTATCTGAAGATATTTACATATTTGTGACAATTACAGAAGCATTTTTGCATATTAGATCAGCTACCAAGTTTACCTGTATAACAAGAAAGCTTCAAACACTAATATTAAACAAGTTTCCAGTTCTATGCAGTTTAATTTGGGGCTCTAAAACTAGTGCATATAAAATTATAGTCGTCACCACTCATGCTCTCGTCACCTCTCGCCTGGACTACTGTAATGCTCTCTACATGGGGCTCCCTTTGAGGAGCACCCGGAGACTCCAACTGGTCCAGAATGCGGCCGCGCGGGTGGTGTTGGGAGGGACTCGTCGCTCCCATGTGACACCGCTGCTGCGCGAGCTGCACTGGTTACCAGTGGTCTTCCGGGTGCGCTTTAAGGTGTTAGTTACCACCTTTAAAGCGCTCCATGGCATCGGTCCTGGCTACCTCCGAGACCGCCTTCTGCCACAGATTCCCTCCCATAGACCGGTACGCTCCCACAGAGCGGGCCTCCTCAGGGTGCCGTCGGTCAAGCAATGTAGGCTGGCGACCCCCAGGGGGAGGGCCTTCTCTGTGGGTGCCCCCACCCTCTGGAACGAACTACCCCCCGAGATCCGGATGATTCCGGATCTCCGTACTTTCCGCCGCGCCCTCAAGACATGGCTTTTCCAGCAAGCGGGCCTGACCTAGGGAGGATTTTAGGTAGGGATGATTTTAAAATTAATTTTAATGAAACACAGCTGGCAATATTTGGTTTTTAATTCGGCTTTTATTGGGGTTTGTATTTTGTAGTTTTGTATCTTTGTATTTCGTATTTTGTATTTTAATATGCTGTGAACCGCCCTGAGTCCTATGGGAGAAGGGCGGTATACAAATTAAAATAATAATAATAATAATAATAATAATAGTTATTAGTTATAGCAACATATAACTATATAATTTATAGCAAGTCTACTATAAAGTTTTATTTTAGGATTATAGAATAATAATGTTGCAACATCTGTAAATCAATTAATCCATTTTTCTTTCAGGATCTCCAGTTGCAATCATATGATCTTCCAATAAACTATCAGAAAATGATAAACTTGTCACCAGCAGAAACACACTAGCTATACCATGCCAAAACCTGAAAACAAGGAATAGTTTAGGATTAAAGCTATGGTTATGAAGCCTTCAAATATCTTAATGTGCACATATACTTTTTCCCCCCAGTCTCTAGATTTTTCCAATTATTCTAACTCATTTTTATGGAATAGAAATTGGTGGTACAGTCTCCATTGTTTTGAGGCAGGATGCTGGAAAACAGGAATATTTGGCTCTAGAACAGGTTAATCCTCTTTTTTTCCCAAAAAAGAAATTACATTTCCTATTCTGAAATGAAAAAAAAATCTGTTCTGCAAGTTGCATTAATACCTTATCTGTCACATATCTCAACATTAAGTGTAATTGTTAGACCAAAAGGCTACCAATCTCTGTTCTAAATGATACAGCTGAACTTCCAGCAACTGAAGAAGCACAACTAATAGTGAAAGATGCTGGAAATTGTAATTTAGCCACATCCATCCCTGATTTAGGAAAGCTACCTAGATGTAGATGAATACTTGGGAAACTATATAATCGAAACAAGAAAACTCCCTGGATAACTCTACACCTTCAAAAAGCAAAAGCAATCCTAACAACTCCACTTATATTATTATTATTATTTTTAAACTTCATCACCAATCCTCAGAAAACCAATTGCTAAGATAGATATTGCTAAAACTTGCTAAAAACATATTTGAAACTGCTTGATTTAGAGCATGAATCAAAAACATCAACTTCTCTACGAACAAAAATGTTGGCATCAACTATTCTTTACTTCATTAATCCTAAAACAAAGTATAAATTGAGCTGGAATTTCACTGTATTATTTTACTGACCCAAATTTTAGCAAGGACAATTTACTCAGGATCTTTTTTCACCAAGCAGATATTTTTTTGCATTTTTACATCCAGTGAAGAGAAAGATTAGATTGCTCCCTATAATGATAAAGCCAGAGTGCAATAAGATTATGTAGCAACTACAGAGAGATAACTATATAACTATAAGAATTGGAAACAACATCACTACACAAAAATAATGGCAATTTTTATTCCTGCTATGTAAGAAAAATCCATTCAAAAATATAAATTTACAATACATGTAAATAAAACAGTGAAGTTATCATTGCTATTTCATGTAGTCTCATATAATACATAGGTACACACATACGCACACACAAAAAACACAAAAGAGAGTTTATATTCTTAGGGTTTTCCTGGTGGTGCTCCGCAGAAGTGACAACCAGATCTGACCCTACTTAGCTTTCCAGCTTCAACAAAGGCAGTCCAATGCTACCACCTGCTGAGACTATACAAGGGAAGTTATTAAAACTTAAAGAAAAGAAATACCTAATAAATATGTAAAGCCTTGAAAATATAGTATTTTTCTCTTTGAAGTTTTCTTGTTCAGATTATATGGTTTCCCAAGTATTCAAGACAAGCAGAATGACTGACTTCAAAGAAGCAGCAAAATGACATATAACATCTCGGAGGTTCACAACTGTCATAAACGGTGGGATTCAGTCTTCCTTGCTCTCAAAGAAAAGTTTGCATTACAGAAAACTAGAGGCCCAACAACAATCAACCCAGCCAATAAGTGGGGGGAGGGAAGATAAAACTTCCCCCCAAAGAAGATACCTGTCAGAGAGTGCACAAGTTCAGATGTCTCTACATCATACAAGTTGGCTGTCCTGTCCCATGAAGCGGTCACTGCTTGCTTCCCTCCAACCAGCCAATCAGCTGCTATGACAACACCCTGATGGCTTTTTAGGGAAGTCAAAGGAACTCGGATGGTGGGACAATCACTGGAGCCATCTCCATCTCCGTCTGGTTCATCTTTATCAGAGAACTCAACTTCATCTTCACCGGACATTTGCTGTTAATGTTGAAAATATTTAATTTGCACGAAATTTGTCACGTTGGTCCAATTAATTCTAGACATCAAAAATATATGTGCAAAACACAAAGGTCTCTAAAGAGAAAAGGAAGAGCTAAAGAGCTTGGGATATTATGAGATACCAAAAGACAAACTGCTGAAGACTCAAAGAGACGTGAATAAGAATAAGGTGTATAGTACTTGGGGAACAGAAAACACAGAAAGGAATGTTTATTTTTGGATGAATTTTGCAAACAAAATACTATTTCATGTACCTATTATTTGCTATTGGGATGCTATCCTTCAAATTCTAAACTACTTTGGTCCTTTGGGACATCTGAAGTACATGAATAAAAACATTATTTTTCCTAAATAATTCCAAGGAGATTTTCTTTAAAGCGTTTATAAAGCTTTGATTATTCAACATGCCACCCTATAGTCATGCTCTAAATTTGCATGGCAATTGGCACATCTAGCACTGTTTCAAGGAAACTGATTGTGCGGTCAACTCTCCCGAGAAACAATATAATTGCAGTAAATACTAAAGGTGTGATTTCATAATTTTATGAAATGTCACATATTAGTTAGCTTCCACTAATGCTAGGTTAGTCATGATTCCAGAACTTTATGGTCCACATGTTACCAGACTGCTATTTGTTAAAGAAGGCATTCAACAACACCCCAATGATATAAATGAACAAAAATGTAAAAACAGTGCATTTTCTCCAGTACTAATTTCCATCCACAGAGATAAACACTACTTTAAGAACCCCAAAAGGCATATTAGAAATCATAACTTACATTGCAGTCTGTGGTAGGTTGAGGGGTGGGCAATTGCACTATATATCTCCAAATATGAGCTGTCTGATCTCCTGAAGCTGTAGAATAAGTTAATAGTCTGTGAACAGCTATTTTGATTTTGATTTTCCAAAGCAGGAAAGAAGTAGAAACAAGCAATATGCATAAGTGATCTTCCCTCTTTCCTAACTGCTTTCTTTTCTAATATATAAGCCCTCTTAAATTATTACAATGTACACACAGGCTAGTCTCTAAAGTCATCCTGCAGGCTTTTCCAATCTGGAAATATAAATATTAAGCACACAGAACTAACTTCTCCTCTCGTTCATTGAAAGAACATTGAAATGGATTTTCCACAATACCAAAATCTCAGGTGCACTATAAACCTATTCTCACTTAATCTGAAATAAATTAGGAGGTACATTTTTTCTCAAGTATTGAGTGAACATAATTTGGCAGGATAAACACCATTTACATACCTGTAAGAGACACCTGTTCTGTTGGATGAAACTTTATGGAATTTACTGCATTAAAGAAAAAAACAAACACATGTTAGATGAACAAATTTAGAAGAATACCTAATTTCTAGTTTGAACTAGATTTCTCTACTGTTGAACAGGAAAAGCTAGGTTTAAAGAAAATCAAGAATAAAAATATTTTTGGAAGAGGGAATTTCTAATATCAAAACAGAAACATAATAACTGAGAGAAAAACAGATTTTATAGGGCATTGATGAACAAAATCTCTCAACAGAAGGAATAGTTTACCCGACCAATGAAAAGCTAGTCCATAAACACTATAATATAGGTTCCTGGGGAAATTATTCCATGCATAAGAACATCAGACAAGAGCTAGCTGTGGGATTGAGTACATTAGGGATCACCTTTAGACTTGATCTCTATCAATAAGCTTTTTACATGAATACTTTAAAAACTATTATTTGTCCTTCTGTTTGGAACAATAAGCTTTTTACATGAATATTTTAAAAATTGGTATTTCCCCTTCTATTTGAAATGATGCATGACAGAATTCTACCATCTAGTTTTTATAATGTGATGAAGATTTTTTTAAAGACAGATCTTATTTTCTTAATAACTCTCACATCTGAATGGTAGTAAACTACTTATTTTTCATGCTTACTGAAATGGGACACCCAGAGAAGGGCGCGAAGAATGGATAAGGCCCTGCTGGCTCCCACAAAGAGGTTCTTAAATTCTCCACCCAAACCCCTACTGCACACTTACCACAAATTCCAAGAGTCAACTTTTCTTACTCAATATATATGCCATTATAATAGAAAAGTTTCCCTCATGATTCTTATTCACCAATAGTTATTTATTCTTACCTGATCCAGCATGTCCAACATATTTGACAAGACACTTTCCTGTCTCTATGCTCCAGAGCAAAGCAGTATGATCTGTGAGAATTTTAAAAAAAAACAATTGAAGAATTAAAAGGATCGATGGATGGACGGACGGACGGATGGATGTGGGTAGATAGGTAGATAGACAAATGGTCAGAGAGAGAGAGAGAGAGAGAGAGAGAGAGAGAGAGAGAGAGATATGGACGGACGGACGGACGGACAGATAATATGGGAATGAAGCCTAGACTATAATCTGTTCTAACCTAATCATTAGAAATGCAAAATACAATCTGTGGCTGAAACAATAAATAAGATTATTACCAGCTGATGCTGTCCCCAGCACCACAGGTTGAGTTTTTGTGACACTGACATCCCAAATGCCATCTCGATGACCAATATACTCTTTCACTAGCTGACATATTGCTCTGGATGTTGTTGTTTTGAAACTGGAGACTATCTAAGGAGACAAAAGGCAGGTATCTGATAGGTAGAGAAATTACCCCAAACTCTTGCAAACACACAACATATGAACCATTGAAGCACTGCACTATAGCCAAATCAACGGATGCATAAGCTTTAGCATATTCTCTGGAACCAAATTTGTCCTGAATGAAGCTAGGATGCTGTTCTATGTAGGTACCAACAGACGAATTTGGCCAGATTGAATCTTTTTAGGATATCATAAAAGCATACAACTCTTCTGATATTTTTTCATATCTTGTGATAATATAGGTGGATATAATCTGCAGAGTACTTCTCTTTTTCTTCTATAATACGTTGTATGCACCATACAAGCTAACTTATTAAATAGAGCTAGCTCAAATGGGTTAGGAGGGAAGAATGGAAAAGTTGCGTAAAAATTCAAAGCTCAGAGCCATATGAAGTGGTATTCATATTAACTTGGAAGTCAGACCAATTCCTTTTGTATGACAATGGGATGTTCTTTTCAAAAACCAGTACAAAAATAATGTAATCAAAATTTTAAAATAATAAGAGAAACATGAAAGCAAGAATGACTTATTTTACTATCTTTAGATGAAGAAATGTATTGGGTGCATGGAAGAAAACACTCTCAAATCGGAACTGCTATATTTTTTTAAAAATCAGCATGGAAAAGCAAGCAGCAGTTCACACTCTTAAGTGACTCAGCCTGTGTGGAAGGATTAGTGATGCAGGACTATCAGTTTACTGGATTAGGTAAGTGCTGAGTCACTGGACTGGAAGAACTAAATCAGTAATATTTGCTGGCTGGAGCATACTAAGGTAATATGAGGTATACTAGTGTGGCCATTCAAAGTAATTTTTATGCAATAATTGGGTTGTCTTTAATGGGTAGAAAGGGCGATCCATGAGTGATGCAGCAGCATAATGAGCAGGAATGAAGAACTACCAGTCAGTAGGACCTCAAGCAAGGTCTCACCCTCAGGTTCCACCTGCTTAGTCCTACTAGGAGTAACTGCAAAAATGGTTTGAGGCTCAGAACACCCTACATCAGGTATGGTCACCACTGTAATCAATCCATCTGGAGGACGTGGGAGAATTTCCCATTTCAGCCACTCAACTTCCCTCATCAGAAAAAGGCACAAAGTGGTCAAAGTCTCATTCCATCCACGGCAGAGTGGAGAAAACTAGTTCTGTGCTTGGTCGTTCAATAACTGCCTTTGTCTTTGTAGGTTAACAAACAGCACCAGCGGCCTTATTCCATACAATTTTTTTTCTTCTTTTTGACCCTGATGTATAATATTCTTCAGTCCAGATAAATAGATTGGGAATAGAGCTAACTTTTATATCAGATATACACCTTCATCATTTAGTGTTTGGACAGAAATCATATAAGAACTTTGCTATATCATTTATATGATTTATGCTAAAATCTGTAGCATCTCAACCACATTCTTCAACACTAAATTGTCCTGCCTTCTCAAGGCCATTGTTAAACTTTCATACTAGCTTTATGCCATCTGAGCATGAAGCCCAAATCTATATTTTGAAATATAGGTAAAATTTCCTAAGGCTTTTTGCCAAGCATTGGGGTAAGGGAATAGTATAAAACCAATGGGTCATAATTCATTTCTGTTGTACTGGTTTTAATGGCACTATGTTAAGTATCACTAAGCTGGATCTAGCAGACTTCATGGTAAACTGAGGTACGTGGCTGTCTAATATGACAAAATATTCGTGTTATTGTGAAATATAGAATTCCAAGAGCATTTCAAAGCAGTGAAAGATTACAATTGGATACCTTTGCCACAGTAAATGACTAGGTATATATTGTAGGCAATTTTTATTTTAAAAAGATATAAAAATTCTAAAATCATCCTAAAAATGAGAATCAACTAGATAGTTGTTTTTTTTTTTTAAAAAAAGCCTAATTAAACTAAAATGAGATTAAATTAATAATTAAATTTTAAAAGGTATAATCTGGTCATCAAACATATCAAAACATCTATCAAATTTTGTTATTGAAAATATTCTTAGGACTGTTCAGTGATTTAAAAAATAAAATAAGACATATATGTTCAATTAAATTTTTAGGAGAAAAAAATGTAAGGACTAGAAAAAGCTGCAACAATATAGTTTTCAGCTTTTACCTCTTTACAGTAATGAAATGAGACCTACAGTAGATGGAACCATAATTTAGTTGTTAATGAGAAGAATTGTTTCCAAGCCAGTATAAGCAATAATTACTACAGATGCACTGCAAAAGGAACAGGTTAATTCTTGCAGAACTAGGAAGGGATTAGTATTTGAACCATAGTGTAGCATTAAGCATAAAACTGTCAAGGCAGTATTAAAATTCAATTGAAATTTAATACACATCTTCAAACAAAATGGAGTTATGTAAGAGTAGTGGAACAGTAGAATATATTATCACAACAGGTCTCACATACCTTATCAGTCTTAATTAGACATAGTGAGGAATAAAATGAATTACCAAACTGTTTTAGTTTCCTCAAAAAATCTTCTGTATCCCTGTAATTATCTGGTTTAATTTTCAGGGACTACAGCGTTTTCCCCTCTTCCCTTAAAATATCATCTTTAATGCCATTTCATATTTTGAGTTTCCTTTTACTTTTAAAACAATAATGGAAGTGTTCTTTCAAAGATCACAAACAGCAATAGGACAACATCAAAACTTTCTGCTCTATTTCAAAATATGAACAAAGGGGCCAGCCACTGTCTCAGTACAATGGTCACCAAGTTAGGCTCAGCAAACAGAGCCAGGAAATTATGCTAACATGCACATTAAACCACTACTATTAAAATTTCCATTTTAATTCTTAGCTTATGTTCATAAACAAGCATTTAGAAATTCCTCATTTTACACTACTACAAAATGAGTTTTTTTAAGTTTCTCCTTTGAAAAATGTGACTTAAATGTGAGGAACTCTAATCATGTGATAGTAAAGTCAAGGAGATGCTGTTCAACCAGTTGCACATTCTGTTGACTAACCTGAACCAAGTAAACAAATTTAAGAGCAGTACATATCCTACTGTGCACAGAAAACAAAACTAGACTGTTTCCTGGCTAGCAAATGAGACAGTTTCCCCTTCAAATCTCAAAGTTTTCAAATGCAAATTCACCGTACTTTCTTATAATAATCATCCTGCTCACAATTTCAGTCTGTCAAGTTAATGCAAGAAGAACTTGTACTGTAGATTACAATTACTCGGGCTTTCATTTAATGATTCATGTGTGTTTTCATCACAACCATATAAGGCATGGTGCTTAAAGGAAGACAAATTTACATTCACAAAATGTCAAAAATTTCATTCAAGGAACTTCCAAAAAGAAGAGCAGGCAACCTCTTGGTAACTGAAGGTTGGACTTTTTCATTATCATTATTTATTTTGAGACAGTGAAATCCCCATGAGCATAATCCAGCAAGGGTAAAGCCAATGTTCTCAGGTTTTCTTGTTAATTTTCAAACATATTTCTCATTTCATTTTTTAATTTAAAGAAAGATGCACATTTATAAGCCATTCACCTCTGAGATTCAGCAGCAAGATTTGGGGATCACAGAAAATAGTGAGTTCAGAAATTACACTTAACCAACCTTTACAGATGCCAAGCAGTTTTAAATATAGTTTGCCATGCTGTATTCCAGGGAAGGAATTACTGTTCCTGAAAACCTCACCAAGCACCTAAAATTAGTTATGCAATTCTTAGGTTCCCAGCCCACACATTTTGTTCTTTTATTTTGTGAAGTTGGTTAATGTAGATGGCTTTATTATTATTAATGTTGCAGCAATCAATAAATGCTACTATTACTACAAAGCATTATTTTAATCATCTTTACCATACTACAGCAAAAGATTGTTGAAATAGCCCTAGAAGCTAGTTCTCTTTTATGAACAGTTCAGACAATTTATAGATTTATAATATGACTTGTTAAAGAAATAGACCTAGAGAGGACCCGCAAAGTTCATAATGGAAACTCTTTGCCACCATCAAAGCTTGTAATATGGATCAGGCCATTGGGGGGCAAACAAATGTGAACATTTCTTCACCAAAGAACTGTGATATGTACAGGTATTGCATTATCTTTAAGAGCTACTTAAACACTCAGATAGCAAGATGCATAATGTATATATATTTAAAATAAATGTATTTATTTATTTATTGAGCTCCTTCCTGTTCAATTATAACATGTGCTGTGTCTTCCAAGATTTTGGCATCTGCTCAAGACATTCCTATTTACCTTAGCTGCTGGCTAAGTCATATTTTTGTGTTTTGATAGTACTGCTATTCTGCATGCATGCAGTTTTAGGAGAGGTTATAATTTTATTTATGTTTTTAGAAGTCAGACTAAATTGTTCACTGATATTCTTTTAAATCAAGTGTTTTCAACAAAGTACTTTTAAAATCAAAACTGAATTGAGATTATAGCAACAAAAAAGGCAGACATAGTGTGTCGACACTGTACCAAGGCAGAGATTATGCCTGCCATAATAAAAACTGTAACCTACCCAATCTCAGGGACTGATAACCATGAAAACAGGAAACAGGAAACATTGCTTCTGTTAACAATTGATATCTATACGCAATACTTAAACATGAGCAGTAAAAGGCCTGCAGGTAAGCACCAATTGATAAATATTATATCCATGAAGAAAAACTAGTTGAAATGAGATTCTGTATGTTCCACCACTCACTACTGTTTAGCTGGGCATGCAAATTGGCACACTGGGAAGCAAAGCAGTTACCCAGGAGTCGCCACCCCATATTTCCCAGCTTCCCACGTGGAATTTGCGAGGTCCACCTGATCTCCCTGGGAAAGAATTTGAGCGCTACATAGCAAGTAAGAAAAGATAAGCATTCAGCACTTGCTTTCAAAGAACAGCAAATTTACAATACACAATATACATACTTATATATGATCTAGAAACTGAAGACTCTACTTTTAATAGATTAAAGAAAACATTACTGGAATAGAGAAGAAAATGCATTTCCATCCCTTAAGAGCATAATGACAGTAATACTGCAGAAAGATGAAGGATACAGATGTTTTCTATTAAAAATAACCAATGTGTGTACAGCTGATTGTCAGATAGAAACAATTTCAATTTTTATAAAAAAAAATACTTGCAGGAAATGTGTGTTTAAACTTTTTATATTAGCCTTTATATGTTTTACTCTGTTTTTATATTGTAAAGCTGCCAGGAGTAATTTCTGCTGAATCTGGCAGCACAATAACAAAAAAAATTATAGCTACTTATTTGATCTAATGAAAACAGAATTTAATGATACTACAAATTCTGCACCAAGATTACCAGATTAAAAATTGACCAAAACACCCCAAACACATTCCCCTTACTATATTTTCCCAATATATTCTCCAGATGTATTTGGAAGCATGTCTTCAAATTCTTAGAAAATTCTGGGAATCTGAAAAACTGCTATCCTAACATACTTAGTGGATATCACTTTGGATTGGTTTATACAGTTTGGATAATTTCCAAGTATGAAAGAAAATATATAACCTTCTCTCCTGCATAAATGTAAACTACTTGCAGGTAATAAGTAATTTAGTAATCATTTTAGAGTTGATACATGCTTGATAATTGTAAGTTTCAATCAAATTAATCATAGTTACAATCAGAAGATGCTACCTAATTTTTGGAAAAGGACCAAAATAAAAATGACTATGAACTAATAAGCAAAATGGATTTAACAATTGAAGTGACCCCAGTTATAATTAACTGCTAAAGAATTTCTCATAATAAAAATAATAACTTCGTTGTCTTTGCATCTTACAAAAAAGCTTTTAACATTTTACTATAAATTCATTTGGTCACTCTATTTTTTATTTTATTTTCTTAATCATTTATTTACTGAATTATGACTAAAGGACAAGACCAAATGGCAACTCTTTGGTTAATCTTGATCACAGACTCCCACAGCCTCTCCCACCAATCTCTGCAATATGAGATGGGACTACATCGGGATGGCATCAACTTCAAAAGTTCAACTTCATAAAGACAGACAGTAATAAAAAGTAAGTAAAACTGAACTGGTAAGTATATTGTAATTCAATAAAAGGCTTGACATTTCATACCTTGCTAGTTGATGCCTTGTAAGTAGTCTTTAATTTCTGAGACAGCTGACTGGTACTATGGCTGGCTGTTGAAACAAATACATTTAAAGGAAATTTGTTTTGAAACACATTAGATTACCTTACTTCATTGTTAACATCCTTCTAACTGGTTGTCATCCTAAATTATGAAAAACCAACTAAGAGAGGAGTATTTTTCTCAACTCTCTTCTTACCTTTTGTTTTCAGCTGCCCCTTGCTCAATTCTGCTCCATCAATGGCTTGGCCTTCAGCTGCTAAGCGTTCATTAAGTGTATCAATCTCTCTGCGTACTATCAGTAGCACAAAAATTAATGTCAATGCAAAGAAAAATAATTAATCACAATTTTAAAATTACCACATAACCCTTATCTCAAAGGCCATTATGAGCAGGATCATAATTTCATAATCTTTTGTGTTTCTTTGTGTGCCACAATTATAAAAAAATACATAATATAGCAGTAGCACTTAGATTTATATACCACTTCATAGTGCTTCACAGCCCTCTCTAAGCAGTTTGCAAAATCAGCCTATTGCCCCCAACAATCTGAGTCCTCATTTTACCGACCTCGGAAGGATGGAAGGCTGAGTCAACCTTGAGCCAGTGAGACTCAAACTGCTAAAGTGCTGGCAGCCAGCAATCAGAAGTAGCTGCAGTACTGCATTCTAACCACTGCGCCACCACAGCTCTTGAAAGTAAATAACTCTCCAAATCTAGGATAAAACTTTGTCAAGGGATCTTAATTCTAAAATCACTGCTTCTAAGATATTCATGTTGATGCAAAACATCCATCAGTAAATTAAATGAAAATTCAGGAAGGAAAGGTTTGGTATCTCCCTTCCGGATTCAGGAAGCCATTGCTTGCCAAATAACTTGTTTCTGAATGTAATTCCGCTCCAAACTGGAAACAATAAACACAATATATCCAGCATCCAGTCTGGATATCTGCAAACAGAAAGTTACATTAATGAACACAAGTAATGAATAAGAGCCTCTGTAGCTCCTCAACTAGAGGATTTACAAATGTACCGGGATGTTTGTAGATATATTTTCAGTTCCTATTTACATAACACACACACACACAAACACAAATAGCATGATTCCCCCAGGCATTCTAAGACCAAGAGAAGGGGAATTAGGCTATACATGCTGTCCCGAAAGAGCCTTGGTCTCTGATCTTCACTCCCAAGCCAACAGAATACCTGAAGGGGGAAATCAATATCTGGATGAGTACTGACAGGGTCTTTCCCAAGGCTGGAAATCAAATCACACAGGGTTCCTGATTAAGTTAAAAAACTAATGGAAACAAACTTCCCCTCCAAAGTTTCTACCATTGGACAATAGTCTTAGGATGTAATTCATAAGATAATGGAGAGTAGAATGTTCCCTTTTTCATACAGTCCTGAAGGCAAAATGAAAATAACTTTCATAGATGACTTATTTGAGAAAGAAAATATTCTTCATCTCTTATTACCTTTTCTATGCTATCTCTTAATCATACTTGTTACAAAAGCAAAAAAATAGCTACTGTTTAAAGCAATGACTCATAACTATTGCTCACTGGAATCCAAAATTCAGTGTACAATTTATTTCTTTTTTTGCAAAAATGAATTAGCATTACAGTGCAAATATAAAAACTAACATATCTGAATGATTATCCCAGTAAGCTTTGAAGTAAGAATGATCAAATGTATGTGTAATTAAATTTTGGGTTACAGCCATCAGTTACAGCTAAAATGTTAAATGAACAGGATTATGGGAATTTTAGGTTAAATGAGTCAATGTGCACCAAACTATCTATCCTGGAATTAATCAGCATTAGTATTAGAGATCTCAAATAAGTACCGTATGTAGGCTTCTATTTTAGGTAACCTGAATATTTTAACTGTCCATTCAGAGTTCACATAGGATCGATAGTATAGGAACAGAGATCCAGAATTATAGTCTTGCATCTAGCATCTTTCATCAGCATCTTATTCCAAGTTAACATTTTCCCCCAAAATTGCACAAATATAAACTCACATTCAAGATTCTCAATGTAGAGATTCTCAAATTCTCTTTCTATTTGACCAAAAAGTTCCAGAAGTGTACTTCTAATGGATGAGGGTAGCTTTGAATCCTAGGGGAAACAAAAATACTACAGTGAAGGGAGAATTTTCCAGGAGTTTGTTGTTTTTGTGCAACTGGCCCTTTATGCAAAGCCTGCTATTTCCATTATTTCAAAGCGTAGATTGCAAACGGAAACCATCCTCCTATCCACTTTTTCTTAAACAGTACTTTTTCCACACAATGGACCTGTACAAAGTTTATGCTTGAAGAAAAGATAATTTTGTGAGTAACGGGTCTACCAACAAAACCTTATTAAGGAGACACACAAAAAAGATTTCAGTAAATCTACAAAGGAGCAGAAATAGATTTTATACCATCACGAAATATCTTCATTTCAGACAAAGGAGAACAATCCATATAATTCAAAAGTGGCAAATTTCTAATGTTTACAATAGTAGATTCTGCCTTTAATATTACATAATGGTAAGTTACTGTTGGTGAGCAACCGTCCCACTTGGGAGAAGGGCTCAAGTGAGAAATTAGTCTGGATAAACACAAGAGGGCAAGGTCTGATCTCCCCGCTTTGAATGTCTTTGAGCCTCATCTCAGGTGAAAGCTGCCGGTCTGGGGAAGATTCCTGTGAAATAGGCACAGAACAATAAAGTTGCTAGTTGAACTCTATATGTAAGGGTTTGATTGTTTACATCTGATAGTTACTTGTTTTAAAACTTTGAAATTTTAAATCAATAATAGTGCACAAAGGCAGTCTAACAATGATTTACCCTTGGCAGATCCTCAATGCTACTTCTCTTTTAGTTCAATAATCCATAACATACCAGATACAACAAGATGAGTAAAGCAGTATCCCTTACAAACAGTTCAATCCTACAGCAAAGACGAGATTTTACAAAGAGTTTGATTGCAGATTTTGTTACCAATTCAAAACTCTGAAAGATAATGACTTTATTTTCAAAATTATGTTTGAAATGTAAATGTTCAAATAAACTTTCCTAGAATAAGCTTGCAGGAAAATGCTATGAATGTTGAAACATCATATACACTGAAGGGCAAAAAATAAAAGACAGAGATAATAGAACTCAAGACATCTCCCAAAACAAAACAGCTCACATATACAGAACTGAACTGAATCAGATTTTCAGGATGTGTTATCTATTTGCTATAGATTAAATTCATACTACAGCCAGAAAATGAATTATAGGTAGTCCTCAACGTACAACAGTTCATTTAGTGATTGTTGGAAGTTACAATAGCACTGGAAAAAGATACTTGTGAGGTTTTTCACACTTACGACCTATGCAGCATCCCCATAGACACATGATCAAAATTTAAAAGCTTGGGAATTGACCCACATTTATGAACTTTGCAATGTCCCGGGGTCATGTGATTCCCTATTGTGACCTTCTGACAAGTAAAGTCAATGGTGAAGCCAGATTCACTTAACAACTGTGTGATTAATTTAACAACTGAAGTGATTTAACAACTGTGGGAAGAAAAGTTGTAAAATAGGGCAAAATTCACTTGACAAATGTCTCACTTAGCTACAAACATTTGGGGCTCAATTGTAGTCATAAGTTGAGGACTACCTGTACACTCAAAGACTCTTGGACATTGTCATGACAGTAAGTGAAGAAACCCAGAGATATATCCAAGTATCAAAAGTATTTTCCCTGCATTTGAATAGGAAATTTCAACCTTGCTTTGACATTTGGCTTTTAGGTTTGTTTTAGGACTTACGGAGAATACAAAACTGGGGGATTAAGGGATTCTATCAGAATATTAATCTATTTTGATCAGATAGCAGTGAAATCAAACTCCCTCTTTCCATCCAATTTACCTGGCCTTCCAGCATCTCCCTCTGCAATCCTGACCTCTCTTGTTCAGAACTGTTGGTTCTTCGTATAGAAAGACTGTGGGATTTTCGTTTCTGCTTGGCTTGGCGAGCAGGGGCACAGCTTCCACTTTCTGTGGGCATTACTTCAAAACAATCACTTTCCAATAACTGCAAAGATAAACTAAAGCCAAGTATTAAATATTGTAACTTAATCTAGGTAAGAAATTACTTTCTAAGTAGCAAATGTAAGGGAAACATTTAATCCTACTAAAGTGTATTGTTGCGGTAAGATATTAAGGTAATGAGCAATGAGACAGTGAAAAATCTTACCACATACCTTTTAATGTTATTTGCCAATTATTAAGCCATTGCATAAATATAAAAATCCCTTTGAATTATAACTATTTTCCAAATGCAATCCCTATGAAAAATCAGAAGTGCTTCTAAGAAACCCACATCTATAGTCACTTCCACAAAACAAATTCAAAGTCAGGAGCCTAAGAACATGATGCCTGAATGGCAATAACAAGCAAATTATTTAGATTCAAAAACTGCATCTATTCTAAATTACAAATTTCAAGATCATAAACTCTACTACTTCCCCAAAAGTTTTCAGCAACTAATCCTACTGGTACTATGAAATAGCTGTATTAATGCTGCAATACTTTCCTCTATTAAGTCACTGTTATGCATCTTAAAATTTAATTCCATACAACATGAATTTCGATTAAACTAAATTACCTGACAGAACCTCTTCAACCTCTCTCACTCATGCATGAGCAATTTGGCTCCCTTAAACCATCAAAGTGTGTGACATTTCTGCAGTGTCAAGAGAACTGCACCCTATTTGAATCCAACACAACATATGACCCTATTAAGCAAGGACCATTTTCTGTCTCTTTACCTATCTCAAATTCAATTAGTTTTGGCTGCAATAATTAACAGCTCTTTCTTAGAAACTAAAAAGTAACTACCATTTATGCAGCAACTTTCCTTGACAGCTAAATTAACTTTCTTACTGCATGAAATGGAGAAAAATGCACCTATGATGTGTAATTTTGATGGTTAGAAAAAATGAGTAGAAAAAAGTCAGGGTTTTTGTAATCACGATAAAAGATAATGTTGCAATACTTATTTTTGCTGCAGAAGAAATCAGAAGTTCCTCCTATTTATTTCTATTATTTCTCACTATAATTTTTTTATTCCTTTTATTTTTTATTAATTTGTGTCGGTTAGTTTGTGTCAGTTTTAACATTCTGTTTAAAACTTCAAATATTTTTTTTTTAAAAAGCAACAGTTTTTTTTTGTTTTTTACAAGTAGGCCTTGCTTAATTATATTAATTGGAACCGGAAGTTCCATCACTGAAGTGAAGTGGCCATTAGGGAAAACATCGAGTGACTGCATCACTTATGGACAGCAGTTCTAACAGTTATAGTTGTATCGTTAGACCAGGATAACACTGTTGTCGGGTGAGGAACTTACAGTTCTCTTGCCCTGCCCGCCTCTGCTTCTCCCCCACATGTCTGCCCTGCACTCTGCCATCACCTGCCCCTGCTGCCCTTCCCCAGCACCCTCAGCTGAGGTTCATCGTCTTCTTCCTCCCAATGCTGACATGCATGCACAGGCCCTTTGCAACGCCCTCATGCAGCCTTCCCTCACACACCTCATCAGCCGAGGAAGTACATGTCAGAGTTCACCTGGCGAGGGGGAAGCAAGGAGAGGTAAGGGTGGCATGCAGGGCATGCAATGAAAAAGGCAGAAGTGGGGAAGACTGGCGTATGGGGGAGCTGAAGCAACCACTACAGTCATAAATGCAGGCAGACTGCCAAGGACCTGAATTTGATCAGATGACTGTAGCAGCATTGAAAACAACTATAACTTCAAAGACCAGCTACAAGATAGTCCAACTTACAATAGTTCATTTAGTGAGCATTCAAAGTTACAAAAGTGACTTATAACCATTTTTCACACTTACGACCGTTGAAGTATCCCCATGGTCACCTGATCAAAATTCAGACACTTGGCAACAGGTTCATATTTATGACATTCAGTCTCCTGGGGTCATGTGATCACCTTTTGCAACCTTTCGATAAGCAAAGTTAGTGGGGAAGCCAGTTTCATTTAACAACCATTTTACTAACTTTGCAACAGAAATTTTGGGGTCATTAGTGGTTGTAAGTTGAGGACCACCTGTAACGACCATTCAATCAGCGCCATCATAAGTTCAAATGGCTGCTGAATGAATCATTAAATGAGGATTACTTGTAATACTTTTTTGCACAGGTACTAGCAACAGTGTTGGAGTGCAGTTTTCCCCTTAACAGATCTACCCCTCTCCTCCTTCATGGGAAAAGAGAGCTTCTTCTAAGAGGGAACCTGAAATATGCTTGGATCACATAAAAAAAAGCATATTCTGTTTGGAGTAGAAAGATTATTTTGTGTCTATTAAATTTTAATTATTTATAGCCATTACAGTTTGAAATTATGGGAGTTATAAATCAACATGTTTAGAGTTAATGTGATAGAAAACATTAAACACCCCCCTCCCCCCACTTTATCCAGTCTTGAAAATCCAAGATTATAAAAAGTATAGGCAAAAAATAGGTGTAAACTTTGTAAATTAATACAGTGAAAAGGAAGCTCTGGGAAATCAATTTAAAATGATTTCTTAGTTAATTCTGTTCAATCACAAGTACTGACAGCTCATTATTATTTTCAGATGAATTTTTATGTGAATAACAAGCAAAGCTTCAACTTAAGTAAAGCCAATTTATAAATGTTATGTATTTATTTATTAAACCAATTTATATAATTGGCCATCTCACAAACAAGTGACTCTGGGCGCCATACAACAGAGCTAAAGAGTACACCAAATTTACACCATAGATTATACAACAAAACCATCCACTACATATTATAAAATGTCTTCTCAGACTTTTTTTTTAAGTAGAGATTTGCATTTCCTTTTTTTTGTATTAACTCTGTACACACAAACCTCTAGCCTTGAGGTATGTAGTCATTCCTATCTTACAACATTAGAACAAGTTCCTGTTTTGTTATAGTACTTTTCAGTTCCACTTCAAATTGAAAGGAACATTAGAAATTACCAGTAATATAAAATAAACCTGGGAACTGTATTCAGTCATGTTGGCATCCATTATTTTATTACTTGTGTAATACTTAGATTGTTTGAGCTACTGTATATAGATGATCCTCAGTTTAGAATTGTGATTAAATTGTGAAATTATATTTGTAACTTGTGCCAGTTGTTCAGTGAGTCAAGATGGCCTGCAACCAATTTTACCTATTTTGCACTGGACGTTAAGCAAACATCATGATTACAAAGCAAATACTATGGTTGTTAAGAGAATCCATTACGCGAAAAGAAGGTATTTTTCTGGAAACCAGACGTAAACAGCAGTTTCTGACAAGAAAGTCTTAAATTGTGGTCAGGTGACTATGGGATACTACAAACCGCCATAAATGAGAGCCACTTGCCAAGAGCCATAATGTGATCAAGTAACTAAGGAGGGGAGCAGGTTGCAGCTGTGGGAACTTTGAATTCAGCTCCTAAGTTTTGTCTCTGAACTAAGCAATTATTTATAAGTTGAGGACTACCCGTGTACATGCCTGACCAATAAGTCAGATTTAGACAGACACTGTAAAGCTTAAACATTAAAAAAAAAAAAGCAGACAGGCATAACCCACCCCACCCAAAAAACCATCCATTTTGAGAATTAGATAAAAATTCTTTACAAAATGCTAACAGCTTAGACCACGGGTGTCAAACTCGCGATGTCACGTGATGTGTCACGACATATCGTGACTTTTTTCCCATTGCCGGCAATGGGGCGGGTGCAGTTTTGGAGTGACACATCAGGCGTGGGCCAGCAATTTGACACCCCTGGCTTAGACAGCTAAAATTATCACTGTGTTTCACAATACTAACATCCTATCACCCATGTTCATCCATCAGATGCATAAATAATATGTACAAAAATCAAGAAATTTAGTGGATGCAACAGCACAGTCAATGTAGATTAGGCATGTCAAATTGCCGGCCCACAGGCCAGATGCATCACACCAAAACTGCACCCACCCCATTGCCAGTAATGGAGAAAAAGTCCCGATGCGTCGCGCAACATCACATGTCACGAGTTTGACATGCCTGATGTAGATTATCTCACAAATTAACACATCACGAAAACAATGCAGAAAAAGCTTCGTGTATAAATAGCTCTAGATATAGTTTATACTCTTTTTCAGGCTGCCCTCCTATATTCACTTATATTAATATCAATGGAATTACTTTTTATTAGACAGCGATGGTTAAAAGTTTGTGAATCCTTTTGAATTTTCAGTATTTCTGCATAAATACAGGTAGTCCTCGACTTATAACAGTTCATTTAGTGACTCTTTAAAGTACTGAAAAAAGTGACTTATGACGCCTTTTCAAGCTGTTCAACTGTTGTGGCAACCCTATAATCACATGATCAAAATTCAACTGGCAACTGACTCATATTTATGACAGTTGCAGTGTCCCAGGGTCACATGATCAACTTTTGCAACCTTCTGACAAGCAAAGTCAATGAGGAAGACTGATTCACTTAACAAGTGTGTTACTAACATAACAACTGCAATAATTCACTTAACAACTGTGGCAAGAAAGGTCATAAAATGGGACAAAATTCACTTAACAATTGTCTCACTTAGCAACAGAAATTTTGGCCTCAACTGTGATCATCAGTTGAGGACTACCTGTTTAAGGTATATTTATCTCTTGGTGGATGAAAGCTTGCAACAAATCAGTTTGCAAGTCTCCAAGTTAAGCCTCTCTCATAGGGAACTATGGCCCACTTTACTAGAATCCCAGCTTGCTCAGGCCACCTCAACATTGATGCCTGCCAAAAGACATCTGTAAGGCTATAGAACTCTATACAATCGTAACAAAACATGATTAATCAAAGTGTCATGTGAAATCATTACATATATAAGATCTAAACTTACATATTGTGACATGAATTTAGGATAGGAAATTCTAGTAGGCAGAGAAGACATGCTTAGCCATAGCCTGCCCAAGTGACACAACCAGTTCATAATGCATAGGAGACATTACTGCAACCTTACTGTAATAGCATTTTTGTGGCACCGCTACAGGCAAAGCATGCTAAAATGGCTTTTGACAGAATTTCC